CTATATGCTAAACATCAATTGAGTAGCATCATACATTATGGCCTGTTACGGCTACTGGAGCAACATTAAGTTATTATAGAAGTACCTTAGAAGGTTTCAAGATAACATAAGCAAATAATAGAAAACCTGTTTTTTAATCTAAATAAAACTTGGTGCAAGAACCGCAATGAGGCAAATGCTCCAAACACATACATATATTAACTCAGCTTTCTTTCCTGCATTGGCATGTGAGATCCCAAATCCTTAAGGCTCTGTATTCACACACCTCTGCTTGCCCAAGTCAGCCAACCATATAACATCTGTAGAATAAAACCTTGATGTTGCTATGAACTACAAATCAATGTTGCAGAAAATCTTTCAAGAGAACAAAGGCTACATTAATAGAGTTACAACTGCTGGATCCAACACTGAAAAACTTTGAAAAAATGGTTCAGGTAGTCAAAACAAAAAACCTCAGACCTTCTGTATGCGTACAAGGAACTTGTCTTTTTTCTTTAAACAAATACATATTAGCTCAGACTTTGTGCTCATGTGTCCTTTCTCCACTTCTGTGCTTTGCTAAAAAGTCTGAAAGCAGAGAATTACCTACAGTAATATAATATAGTAATACAAAACTAGTTAACTTGCCTTCCTTTAAAATGCAAATACTGCTATTAACTGCAATGTGGCAACACTTTAGACCGGTACAGGTCTTAACGTATCACAAAGAAGCTATTAGGGTTTGCTGAGACAAGAAAGCTGGCAATAAAATAATGTGGAACTATGTTTTCTTGGTAAAAATAGTTCATTTTTCAAAGACAACTCCCTATAAATGTAGAAAAACTGTAACTGGCTTGTATATACCATCAACTATTTATCTAAAATGGCACTCTCATTGAAACAGATGTCATTGCTCAATATCCTTATCCCACCCACATTCTGTTCTCTTAGTTGTCAAACAGAACTGTTTCAAGTTATTTATGAAGTGATCATATTCAAGTCTTTCCATAATAATCTTCATGATGCCCTGAAGAATAAAGCAGTATTTAAAAAACGAAATGCATTTTTTCTCATGATGCTCTCTCATGATCTGTCATATTATTCAAAGTACCTTACGGGTAGAAACTATCAAGAAGAGATTGAAATCTTTGCAAAGGTCAAAGTAATCCTTTAATTAACAACCTTTCTACCTCGGTTACTTCCATTTTCTTCTCCATTTCCCTTATACTTAGTTTCAACCTTCACTTTTTAAATGCCTTCACTCAACTGAGGGGTGCATGGAATTACCACCAAGGGCGAGTCTTCTTGCTTTTCATTCCACAAATTTACCAGTTCTTGTGAAGGAGAACTATACCAGCTCCGAAAGTCCTACCACATAGAATATTTAGGATTAAAAAGGACTTCTGGAGGTACTGATTTCGGCCATTGTAGGACCAACTTAAGTCAGTCAGCTGGGCTCAGCATCACTTCTTGGCATCAATCTTAGTCTTCTTACACTGCCCTCCATGGCCAGATTGCCCCATTGGTTCCTCAAGCTGCTGTACTTCTCCTTTTGCATTTTCTTCCTGCCTTTTCACAAGGCCTTATACTTTCATCCTTCCTTTTTCCACCCTTGCTCATGATCGTCTCTGGAGTTCAGCAGCTGCCTGCCGTATGACCAACATCATCCACAATTACAACGTGACCTTGCCAGCATATCTGATACAGAAGGACCACATTGTCTCTAGATACATGCAGCTCATAGTTTGTTCTCATCGGGATCATCAAAGTTAGAGTACCAATTTTAACAACCTCTACTCTTTAAGAATTCACACAGTTTTTGCTGAAAAGCAGGAACAGAGTGAAATTCATACCAAACACTCTGTCTGGATTTGCACACATAGGTACAGACAGCTAGCACACTTAAGAAAATAAAATCTGAAGAGGTTATCTTAAATTTGAATATTAATGGCTTTACAGCATGAAAAACCTTCACTTCTTGAATCTGCTGGTCAATGGAAGGAATCTAGAAGAGACCTGGAGACATGTATTTATTCTAGCTAGTTAATAAATACCTACAAAGTAGGTATTCAAACGATAATTAAGCAGACAAATCATTCAATATGTAAGACTTTTTTTACACAGGAGATACTGTCCTTCTAAAGAATGCAATACTTCTTGCATACCTTTATTGAAGAACACTGATAATCAAAGTACTGACATTAACATAAAACACATTTTAGTATCTCAAAGCTTTTTCATCGGATTAGATTTTTCACTCTTTGATGCCTGATTGCTAAGCCACCTAACCCTTCAACCCTCCAGCTTTATGATGCCTTATTTAGACTTCTCAACTTTGTTGAGCTGCTTTCAGATTACAACAGAGAGTCTTAAAGATAAATACTACAGGCAGGTTTTCTAGCAGATCACTTGCCAGTTTAGTAAGAGTAGAATAAATAGTGCATGTGTAGATGCAGTGCTGGCAGAAACAAAAAACAGAAACTTCTAGGCATTCTTGAAATAACATTCTTTGAAATTACTCTAAACTACAGATTCCAGAAAGCTACTTAAGCATTTTCTGTCTAATGGAAAGAAATATACATTTTGCCATTCAAATAATAACAAATTTTGCATTTGATATAATAATTTCCTCATACACATTTGTATTTTGACATCATAGAACATTCTTGGTGGCTGGAAGCAATCCAAGTTTATAAGCGTTGAAGAAATGAAGGTAGAGTTGGAGTATCTGCTACCAAAAGTCATGCCTATTACTTCTGCAGTACTTTAAATCCTTACTGATTAGGGATTAAGCATCCATGTGCACTATTTTCACTACCGGGCAGCAAATCCCAGACTACAAAAATATTTTATTCTTGCTTTAGGATGAAACTTATAAGGTGAACATCCACTGCTGTCAAACCTCGGGATGCCTGTCATGGCTTTTTTATTTAAAAAGCAATAAAAACAAAATATCTAGGATTAGACAAATGGTAAGTAAATGAATACAGATCTTCAGTGTGATTCTCTCAAAAATCATTTATGATACCCTTGCTCTTAGAAAATGAGTTCATGCTGTTAAATGCTCTTGAAGTGAATGCAAAAGGAATTCATAATGAATAATTATTTCAAAGTGCTACAGTCAAAATTCTTTGACAGCAAGGATCATTAGAGAAAATATGAGAGTAGGTACTTCAGAAGCTATTTTTCACCAAGATGTAGCAAACACCACTTTGTTAAATTTTAACTAAATTAGAGGATCTCTTTCATCCTCCTTTACCTCTCAGTGAGTTTATCATTCTCACACAATTAACATTGTGTCAGCTCCTGAAAATATATCCACGAAATATGGGATGCAGGACTTGAGTAGAGCAGGGGTATTTGTTTCTTTTTACCAAATGTAACCATTCTTCAAAAAGTAATATGATGCTCAGAATAGAAAAAAAAATGTATCAAACAATAAATGGATGAGCTCTCCAAACTACAAATATTTAAAATTAAAGCTATCCAGAGTTTTTTTAAACATTGCCAATGTGAAATGTGGCCTGCAAATTTTTTATTTTTCTGTTGATCTAGCTGAAAATAATTTATAGATGATTAAGTGATAGAGGATGAATAGATTATGGTTGCCTCAGATTCTATCTCTTCTTATATTACACACTTAATATTAACTGAAAATGCATTGTGAAATAATGCATTAGCAAGAAACAGAAAAATTAATGGAAGTAAAAAAAAAAGACTCCTTCAATACTTCAATACTTTGTTGCTCTTTATCCTTCTTTTTGTTCGCTTTTGAAATGAAGTATATGCATGTTGAAAGAGACAAAGATGAGAATTTTGGAATTTTGGAAAAGAATGGAAACAAAAAGCAGTTTTAAACTTGGGTAAAAAGTAAAAAACAACAAAAAAAGCACTAAGGTTTTCTGGTTTTGTTTCAATGGACTTTTTGTGGTTCCGACAAAATATGGAAATATGAGTATCTCTCTTTGAAGTTCTGCCTGTGGGCAGAATCATCAGTATTCTGCCAGTCGTAGGAATGCAACCTTTCTATATAGTTACAGGTAATTGGTCTCTCTTT